TAAATTTAAATTATTCTTGATCGATATGGTATGAAAATTCACTCTATTACAAAATAAAGGAATGATCCTATTATTATTGCTATATATTATTAAAAAATTAATAAGAATTTTAATATTTTTAACGCCATTTTCTAATATATTTTACATATTAATAATTTAATAAACTTTCTTCATATTTTCTTTTAATTATTTATTATGAAACAAAAATATCTTATATAGTTGGTGCTCCTGATAAATATATCTCAAAATATGACATAATAATTAAATGTAAATGTATTTAATTCTTATGCAATAATATTTATGAAATAATTATTTACTTATTATAAATATTTTAAAAAGATACAAATAAATAGTATATTAAAAATGTAAATCCTATTTATAGAATTTTATAGAACTTTTTATTATATATTATAGTAATTTTTGTATTTATCACTATTATAAAATACACATCATCTGCTAATTATCGTACATGTTATATAACCTTAGTGTTTGATTTGCACATTATTAATTACATATTATTTTTCTCATAATAATAAAATATTAGTTAATTATATCTTTCTTATATGTCAGATAATACTATCATAAATTTATTACAATAATGGTATAGGTGATGTTTAAAAATTCATATACTTTTGTTATAAAATATGTAGAAAATTAATATATATATTATCAAAATATTTATCATAATTACAAACATATAATGTATAAAACATTTACATATGTATTTTATATTATTGCATTTCTTAAATGAGTCCACTGTAATCTACATTACACAAGCATAAAATATACACCAATATATATCCATATTATGGCATGAAAAAGGTAACATATTTAAAAGAATGTAATAAATAATTATATATTTCATACTGTGTAATTTAATTAAAAAGATACTTTTTTCTAACTTATAAATATAATTATTTCTTTTATCATAAATATATCAGTTCCAGTATTGAACTTCTATCTAATATGATGATAAAGTTGAATGTTTTCTGTATTTGTATATTTGTCCCGTCTTTTTTGTTAAAATATTTATATATATTTCATCCTATAAAAATTAACTCCATTCGTTTTTATAACATTATTTATTTTTATTCCACATGTAAAAAATCGAGTATATCTAATCAGAAATATTAAATTTAATATATTGTTTATATTAATCTATATTCTAATACAACTAGAATAAACATTGTATTCTAAAGCACTAGTACGATATAATTATAATTTTGTAATAAAGATTATGCGTAAAATCATGAATACTACACAATATATTTAAGGAAATAATGTTATATGGATTATTATATTGAAAACTAAATATTTTCATGAATTGTTCTATTATGAATGTTTTAATTACATATTATATATTTTGAGTCAGAATAATTATATGCACTAACCTTTTAATATTTATTAAAGAATATTCTTTTAATTAATCGTGAGGAGTATTTTGCTTTATTATATATTTCAGGATTTTCGGTTATCTTCTTATAAATAAGCATTTTTGAATTTTAAGGAACACATTTTTTTGTTGATGAAAATATTACCAATATTACGCATTAAATGAAGTATAGTTTTATTTTCTAATTAATCATTGATTTTATTATATATGTAATACATATTCATATATAATTTAACAGTATCATAATGATTTGTATTATACATTACATTGATGATCATAACTGGATAATTATAGGAAATAAAAATTAATTCTTAATAAATCTTCAAATTGTCAATTTCAAAGAGTTATTTATAAGAAAAAATTTTTGTTACAATTCTTGATATTAACCATATTCCTAACGGTGTATGCTGTTTTTTCAATGATTATTATTACATTAATACATACAAAATTAATTTTATTATCATAATGTGAATATGAGATAAAATCATTTTTTATGTTATGAATATTAGTTCTATTTAATAGTGCCTTATTTAATAAAACGCTAATAAAAGAAACACTTCCCAGAAAATTAGTATCATAGATAATGCAATGATCATGTTCGTATTCATTTTGCTCAAAACTAATATTCAGGGTTAATTTCCTAGTTTATAGTGATTCCTAATCTCGTACATAACATTTTATTTTCCCATGGAACTTTTTATAATAAAATTAATGTTTTTCTCTGAAACGTTTAACATAAATTCTCAAAGACAATCTATGAGAAATATATACTTTTTTCCTATTCCTTGTATTGAAACTATAATTGTCCAAGGTATATATGGTATTGATATTGACTAATGCATACACGTGTATAGTTTTATATGTTGTATAATTAGGACAATTAATAATGCTATATAAATAATTTATCTTTGTGCTATTTTGCTTAAATATTAATATTATCTTAAAAACCTTAGATGAAGAATTATTTGACCATATGAACAAGGATTATTTGTAAGAAATAGTTCTCCTGTATGATCCAGCACAATTATTAAGTATGATATGCTAATTTATTTAATAATATATTAAACAATAATTATATACATATTAAGTTATGTATATATTTATGATTTCAATTTTAGTCAAACGATACAAAAAGGTAGATTATATTAATAATAAACAGATAAAAAATATATACACCTTACTTGCACTTTAATATAATTTACCAATTATAATGACATAAATAAAATTCGCTTAATCATTAAAAATAATGATGTACTACGAAAAATATTTTTATTTATATTATTACCTATTTATTATTTTTTATTTAGTTCGTGGCCTCATAGGTCCCCATTGTAACAAGTTTATATTTTCTAATATTAAAATATAAATCAGATATTGTTTCGTTAAAAAAATATTGTAATATTCAATTGAGTGAATATTATTAAAATATTAATAGAGCATATGTTTCTATTTTAATGTCTTATTATATAAATAATTATTCCTAATCACATTATTAAAATAAAAGACTTCATATAATTTCTCATGTAAAATGTATATTTCATAAATATTTTTGAAGTTTTTTTATATAAAATTATCTGTTCTATTATTTATATGTATCTATTTTTTACTTATTTAATCAAGGTCAATGTATGAATTGTTACGAAATATAATTTAAAAAAATTGTGCATTTCTTATAAATATTTATTAAATATATTATGAAATTATCATGTTCTATTTTAAGGACTTTTTCTTGTATTTATTTAGATCTATGACAGTTTGAATTTCTTATATCATTTCAGTTATATTTTCAACAAAATATTGTCTTTTCCTTTATTATTTGAAAAATTTTAAATAAATGCAAATGAATAATATAAATATTGTTTACATGGAGAATTATACTCTCAAAAGCCTAAATCTATGTGGAATCAATAATGTATACTCATAATTAATAAATCTATTAAACTACATTCAATAAATTAATACATAAAATATATATTATTAATATTAAATAAAGAAAGTGCTAATAATGATATAATAACAGAAAATTAATATTAAAATCAAAATAATATGTTTTGCCTATAGACGGATAACAGTAGCATAAATACATTATTTATGTTTTTACACAATAAGAAATACTATCATAGTATATAATTTTTTTTCCAACAGAATAATTTTTATTTATTCCTTTTCTGAATCCTTTTTTACAACAACCATTCATATATAAGAAATCGTTTCATCTTAATACATCTGATATTATTGATTTTATTTAAAAACACTTTTTTTTATTATAATGAAGAATTATTAAATATTTATATTTTTTAATAGTTCCTCACTACCAAGGTTTTGGTAATATTTACCTATATTTCCATCATCCCAATTGCACAAATCCATAATCAGTGTCTACAAAATATAAATATATATTAACTACTAACTTTTAATATTATTTCACAACTATACATATGCACGTCCTTAAACTAAGGAACTAAATGCGGATTGTTTTTGTAATTGATATTAAATCTGATATAGTGCATATATTATATTTAGAGAAAAAATTTACTTTAACCTTTTATGTATTAATAGCTATCACCAATATATTTTTTAATTTCTCTATATATGTGGTCCTCGAAATATTATAACTTTCTATATTGACATTATAATATATTTCTTTGAAATTATTAGATAATCTTAGAGTAAAACTCTAAAACTAAATATTTCATTTTATGCTATTTAACAATAATACAGTTCATATATAAGTTTATCATTTGTGTTATTCATAATTTTCTAAATTCCATCATTGAAAAATTAACTTTTTATTATACAGCAATTTATACATTTTCTGCATATAAATGTTGCAAGAATATACAAGGTACAATGCGATCCAAAACCATATGTGGAAAAAATAATTATTAAAATGTAAATCTACCTTTGAATACAATATTAATTTATAAATATTTTTATTGTTCATACAGGTAATCTACATAATTACATAAAATAAAGAGAAATGCAAAAATTAAATAGTTATTTATGCATAATAAGCAAAAAAGGTAAGTTGCATATATCTAAAATAAAAAAAATTTTAATCAAAACAATGCCGAACAATAAGAAATAGTAGAGGAAATAGAATATCAAAATAATAAAAGTAATTATAATTACTATTCTAACTATATACATACAATATGCATCATATTCTTCTTGTTGATGCTACTTTGTTATTGTTATATTAATTCCTTTTAAATTAATTGTATAATATTTTTTATGAATTATAATATAACATATAATAATATAATATCTTACGTATGATTGAACTTTTAATAATATAATTATTTGTTTTCCATAATATTTTATCACAGTACAACTTTACATATATAAGAAAAAAATACATATTTTGTTCCATTTAAGGAACTGTTCATAGAATATTGAATAAATAATTTTTTAGAGAACGTAAAGTCTTTCTTAAAAAATAAGAAAATTATATTAGATTATTACCTTATATGATATTAGCTTCAACAATTAATATACAAAAATTTAAATATATTAATATCTGTCTTAATTATAATATTAAATAAAATATTCTATATTGAATTACATCAAAGAATAGAAATATTATACATATAGCTAATAATTTATTTTATCTTAGTTAATATAACACTTATTCATAAATCAAAATAATCATAGATCATATAACTATAAATTTTAATATTTCACTCTAATTCCTTATTAATAATAACTATGTTCAGTAAATACGACTATGTTATATATCATTTTCCCCAAAAAATTATATTTTATGCGGTTATTATTATAACATAAATATTAAGGATAATATATATTAATTTTTATTTACTTATATTGTATATACATATTCTGTTATAATTAAAACATGTAATTCTTCATTATATACCAATTTATGCATAATAACAATAGTATTAATTATTGCAGACATTGAATATAAAACGAATTATTTTTATATTCATCAATTTGGTAGTACTATTATCACTTATGACAAAAAAAATCATACACTTCTCTTAATTAATATGATGCAATAAAAAGCTTATTTTAAAATGGATTATAAAAAATTATGTCTTTTTATGTATTTTACATAATATCAGAATTGCCTTGTACAGAAATTTTTTTTCTTGTTTTATATTTTACATATAATTAAATTATTCACAGAAACAATAATTTTAAAAAATAATATCTATATTTTATTTACGTTTACGTTTTATAGTGAGAATCATTTATATCACATATATAGTGAATTTAAAATTTTAATGAACAAATCATATTATGAGTAAAATAAACTTTATGATTATAATAAACATATAGATTTAAAAAATAATAACCTATTTAATTTTAAAAATGCGTTATATATTACATATTTTATGCTATTTCCTACTAGAAATGAAAAAGAAAAAATTAATATAATAATAAAATATACATAGGATGCTTATTCATAAATAATTCAAAAATATAAATGTAAATAAATTAAATATTATATATTATTCATTTTATAAAAAGTTAATATTTCTTTTTCAAATAACATATATAACACCAAAAATTATTAGTTCTTAAAAAGATGAAACTTTTTAAGATATATATAGCAAGTAAAATTAAAGAATATATATATATATATAAGATATATAATGTAATTATTTCTCTAAATAAGAATTACATAATAATAAAAATAGCATAAATAGAAAGATAAGTAGAATAAAATATTCTTTATTATAATATAATGATAAAAATAATAACTTCATATACTGATTCAATAGATTTATTTATATTATATTATTATTTTAGTACTTACTAATAAAATTTTAACAAATAATGAATAAAACAGTAAAAAGGTTAATTGTGGCTGCAAAAATTAAGAAATAAAAAAAAACCTATATATAAATCCTCCCTTTATATATATATTTTTTTTGTTAATTTATGAAATGTCTTATATTAATATTAACTCATACATATAGGAAAATTATGTATATATTGTGCTAAGACTTATATAAAATTCCCTTAGTACAACTTATATTTTAATTAATAACCTTCCAATTAATATATATAATAATACTCATATTGAGTATTACTCCATGAAACATCGTGAATTTATACTAAATCATAATTAAATAAACTGAATTATAAATACTAAGCAGTGAACACTGAACCCTAAATCTAATATATTAAATACTTGGTTATTCAAAAGAAACTAATAAAATGGAGAAATGCGTATTTTTATATTTATTTGATAATATAATTATATATATATTTTATATCAAATATATGTTTTTAATCACGAATTATAGAGATGCAATATATTAATGCGTGTTATATATGTAATTTTTCTTGTATAATAAGCAGAGTACAGAATTTCAAGGGCTAAAAACATATTATACTTATTCTTCGTTTGATATTCTGGATAATGATGTTTATAGTTATGAATGTAATGAGCCGGAATACCAATTAGAATCATTTCCTCATTTTAAAAAATTCTGTTACATATTAACAAAAAACATCACAAATGTTTGTCTTAAAATACATAAATTACCCGGTAACAAAGAAAGTTGCGATGATCTAAATTATTGGACATATTATTATTTAATTAATAACAATTTTAACATTAATAATGATGATATATCACAATCAGAGATAATTACCTATATCGATAAATTATGGCAATATTATTTTGATACTTTTAAAAATTGTAATTTCCGCAAATATAATATAAGTGTTTCCGATTTTAATATAATGAAACAGTTGTATGATTATTCTAAAAATTATTCATTTCTTCAGTTCAATTTTAATCAAAATTTTGGGCATAATTTAAAAAAGTGCTATTGTACATATATTAAACAAATTAAAAATTTATATAATAAAATAGGAAATGAGTGCTCAAAGTTAACAGATAAACATTATTGTACCCTATATAATGAATTGAAAGAAAAAGAACCTAATAAGCTGTTTTCGAATCTATCTTGTAGTTCTATAGGTGTACATGGATATTTGGTAGAAGGAGATCCGTATTTAGTAAATTCCTCACATTTGACTTCTCCAATATATAAATTTACAGATATTATCGACGAATTTTCTCAGAAAAATGTATCTGTGAAAATTGTTCTGCCGCTTTCTATATGCTTTGTTGGTTTACTATCACTTTCTTTTTTATTTATATATAATGTAAAATGTTTTAACTATATTTTTTAGTACATTGTCTAATAAATTATTAATTATAAATAAATATATATAAGAATAAAATTTACATTATACTTATTAATAAATTATCCATTAGTTTATTGATTTAAGACACAGGTTTAGTTCCTTAATTAGGAGGATAAGGAATAGTAAACATATAATGTTCACAGAAGTGATGAATAAATTTCTACAAATAACAAGAGAATCTCCCTTCAATGAATTCTGGGGAAGGGATGTGTTTATAAATTATGATAGAGAGACAAATTTTTAATGTATTTAGCTTGTTAAAATAGAAACATATTTATGAAATATTGATGATTATATAGGAAAAAAACATTCATATTATATAAAATATAACATAAAAAAAAACAAATAAATATAATATTTTCCTTCGAAATATAATCATTTGCTGTATAAACATTACATGTCAAAAAAAATTATATCATTTAATAAAATATAATATACTAAATATATAAGAAAAGTAAATTAGTACTTATAAAATAAGAAGAAAAAAAATAAAAACTTGTGCAACAAATAATCTTAACCATATTAAACATGTATATAATATTGTAAATACTATAACTATGTAATTTACACACATAAAGTGTAAGTGAAAATAAAATATATACGTAATATTATTCATTATAATTAATGTCATAAAGAGAGAAATGTAATGCATAAAAATTATTATTCTAATTATAACCCTGCATATACAATAATGTATTGTAAATTAGGTATAAAAAGAAATTTTAATTATACTTAATATTCTTACGAATATTTCCAGCTAGGTATAAATTTGAACCAATTATTTAAATATGGCTACATTAGAGTTAAAATACAAATTTTTTAAAAAAAAAATGCTTTAATTTTGTAAAATTAATAGTTAATGTAAATAACATATTTCTTTTATAAATAGTGTGTCATACACTTAAATGTAATAAAAATGTTCTCATATATAATAATTATTATATTCTTCATTTTTAATAAGTTTACTCATTTATATATGATATTTTACTATATTCATACATCTTTAGAATCTTCTATGCGTATTAATTTAATGAATCAATGTGAAGCAAAAGATGATTAAATTAAAATATTTAAAAAATATATATAATAAAGCACATTTGATAAAATGTATAATATACAATTTTATATAAAACAGGAATTACTTTTAAAAGTTATGAATAATTAATGCGGACAATAAATAAATGAATGATAAAAATTATTAATATTATAAGTTGGAATACACTATATTATAAAAATTTTATACATTAATATTGTCAAGTTAAAATACATCTAAATAATAATATTTATTAATTCTATTATAATTTTATTGCTTATTAAAATTAGTACTGTAAGACTAAAAACAATATGAAAACCTTATTATAATATTTATACTCTGAACATATTTTTATTTATTCCCAACTGGAAATATGTAATAATTAATAAAATAATACATGAAAACTAGGACAGCTATTGTTGTTCTTATTATTTCTGATTTAGATTTATATTCCTGATTTTGTTAAGAAATAATACAGTATGCATTTATACCTCCGTATTTTTTCATTCAAAAATATCACATTTTTTTTTACACCATATATATAAATTGGAATTGATCATCTATTTCATCATATATATATAAATAACATTAATATATTCTTTTTATATTTACATGATTACTTCTATATGAAAATGAATGTTTTCACTTTATTAAGTGCATATTTTATTAAACATTCAAATTACAAGATAAAAAAATTATAAAATATTTGAATTAAGATAGTTGAGTAAAAACAATATATAACTAATAATATATCTTTTTTATCTATTATTAAAATTCATATATATTGAGACGAATATAGTAGTATAAATACGTAGTGTTAGTAACAATGCTTAGTATATATACACATATAAAAAGAAAAAAAACTTAATATATATATAATAAATATTATATTGAATTTCATAATATATTATAATGAAATCCTATGAATTATTAAGATATTCATAAATTTTTTCTTACCTGGTAAAAATATAAATAGTATTATGTACAAATACATAATATTATCTAGTCTTACTCATAACATATATAGGAAAAAAACATATAAAAATTCATATAATAATTAATATATGTATATTTATCCTAAATATTCTCTAATAAAAATAGATGTACAAATAATTAGTCTTATACCAGATAAATTAAAAAAATATTTTGAAAACTAATCTTTAATATCATATAACATGTAAAAGTTTATAATAGCACTATAAACCATATTATATATGAAATTACATATATTTATAAATAATTATGTAATCAATGAATAATATATCAATAACTTGAAATACAAAAAACAAAATGTTATATATAGTGTACATATTTTATGAAACAAGTATGCAACAAACCATTGAATCTAAAAAAATTATAATTAAATGTTATTTTGCATTATATGCATAAGAGCACAATGAAACAATTTTTGTTGTAAGATTAATACATAGATTAATTTGAAATCATACATATAATATGTTAATATTATTGTAGAAAAGTGTATATATAATAATATTTTAAATCTACTTTTTGCAAAATCTGAAGGAATCATTGTTTTCTAAAAAAATATGACGTTAAAAGGTGTTATGAAATAATATGTATAGTAGATATATGTTGCACCACATTAAGTGAATAAATAAATAAAAATACTAGAAAAAATCCTTTTGATAATAAAATCATCTATAAATAATTATAACATCATATTGAATATATTTTCTATAAGTACGTTGTATTTCCCTTGATTATATATATAATATGTACTAAAATATATGTTCTCTTTAACATATGTTCTGTTATTATATAATATTTATTTACTCTCCAACATAATGAAATGAGTATAATAACATTTGAACATATGAATTTATTTTATTATACTACAATACTACTGTGAATAAAAAAAAGACACATATAAAAATAAAAGAATTCATAATGCTCTTACTGAGTCTATATATGTTTTTGAATGATCACAAAAGTATTACTAAATAAAGCTTATTTACCAGTAGTATGGAAGTGGAATATCTTACATAATGTAAGTAACCTAAAAATGATAAAATTCTAGTATTATACATGAAAATATATTTATAATACAACAAAATATATTACAATACAACAGACTATTTAATAGCAAAAAGTATGATAGAGTACCACTATTTATTGGTATAATTAAGGTATTTTTAATTCTATAATATTCACTGTATATATTCTTTTCTTTCGATAGTATATATATATTTTTAATAATATACTTTTTGAATATAATGTTATATGTAAAATTATATAAATCGTATCATACCAGTAAATGTTTAATTTTGAATGTCTATATTGAATATAGACAGTAAGAATTAGTTTCATATATCTCTGTACAAAAATTCATTTTTTTCGAAATAAATTAAATTATTCTTTATGAAATCTATAAAATTAATATGTACATATTGCTTATATTATGAATGTAAGAGGACATTACTATCCTACATGTCATTTGCAATGTGATCAAAAATTTTAGCAAATATATACTTCATGCTGAATTGTAGGTACAAATAAATGCAATACAACTTAGACTAAAACTTATATATTAATATGTGTACAGTTCTATAATATTGTAATATTTATTACCATTATAATAAATATATATTTTAGTACTGTTTCATTAGGCATCTAACTCAGATATATGTATTAATAATGATATAAATGAAAAGAAATTTCTTTACGCATACAAAAATATTGCGATATGTATTAAAAAAAATATTTTTAAGTATTGTCATGAAAATTATTTTCACATTTATATATTTTATATAAAAATTATATACATCAAATATGAATATATTTTTGATCTCCATGATCTGATTTTTCCGTACTAATATTTATTGTCACGAATTATTAAGACACAATAAAAAATTTCCAACAATTATTTATTCTAATTTATTCAATACATATATTTTTTAGTTTTTATATTTATACCGCATTAGAAAACATTCAAATATATTATTAATAAAATATAATTGGAATTAATGTAATGCTCATAAAAAATATATAATATATAAATCACCTTAAAAAAATATTTACTTGAATAATACAAAATCACGTAAATAAAAATATGCTTTAAATAATAAATAGAATGATTTATATGATATACTTTTACAATTTCATTATACAATTATATTTATGAGACAGTAAATAAAAAAATATTTCTAGTAGAAGAATAAAGAAAGCATATACATAATAAATTGTTTCATATATATTTTTTATATAAATTATTTTAATTAAATGTTTTGTCATATTATAGAATATTCATATAAATATATATATATATATATATTATATTAATAGATTAAATAAAATATAAAATAATATATAAATATAGTAAATTTATACTATTTGCACTTACATTTTAGTAATAGTAATGTATGTTATGCATATTACTGTCTATCAAATAAAAAATTTTCTATAATTAATTATAAGAGTTCTAAAAAAATATGTAATCCTAAATACCATAAATCTGAGGAAAAAACAAAAATCATAATAAAATATAAAAAACCACAAAAATGCTTAATAGCGTATCATAACTTTAAGCTTAGCATTTAATTTTACTATTATATTAAATGACATACAACATTAAATAACTCAGATAAATACTACTGATATATAGCTCTTTGATATTTTTTCATATCAATACAATTAATATATATCTTTAATTGTCAATTATTAAGAAAAGTATTAAGTAATAAAATATAATTCTTATTTATTATAACTCTTTTAATTATTTACATAGGATTATATACATTACGATAAAATATATATCAATAAGAAAAAGGATATAATTATGTACATAATTATATTAGTAATATGTATTATCAATTTATCTTTTTATATTATTGGGATCATTCATAAATTAATGTAAATTTATATGACAAGATAATTTTAATATTTATATTAAAAATAACATTGTTTCTTCTACATTTTATTTAATATATTTATATTTTTCTATTTTTCTTTAAGAAACTAATAAAAAATATATAATATATAATGTATAACTAATATATTTTAGGATGTCTTAAAAATAATAATCAAGAAAGTGCATTGCATTCTTATAGATATATTTTTTCTATAATAAAAGGAAACATGAAATTTATTCATAATAATTGACTATAATTTTAAAACATATATTTTTCCGTTTATAAATAATACTATATTATTTATATAAAATATAGAAAAATATAATCCTATATGAGATGGATTATTCTATTGTACGTTTCTAATATTATAGTATATGCGGCAATATTATAATAAATATATATTATATTTTGAGTAAATAATATATAATACAGTATAACTAAAATTAAATAAAATCATTATATCAATATTTTCTTTTGTTTAGTATGGATTTGTAAATACATTATTCCCTAGATGTGAAGAAATTATAGATAATCCCAAAACAACAATACAAGTAAATTTTTGGACAAATGCATGCAATAATATTAGAGAATATTATCCTCCTGTAACTAATTACGATTTTAAAACTATTATATGCCCAAAAGTTATGACATATTTATATAATATATATAATTTACGAGAAGATTCACTAAGTGAAGTTGGCTTTAAGTACTTGTATTACTGGATATTTAAGTACTATCTAAAGGATGAAAAAAAAAGCAATCGTATAAAACCACTTTATGATGAATTGCTCAAAGTATATAATAATTGGGATCATAAGGTGCACAGTGCTATTGCTTTTCAGGAAAATGAAACAGATGATGAATTGGAAAATCTAAAAGACATATATGATTTGAATATTAAACTTCAAGGTATAGGAAAAAATTTATATTGTGATGGTCAATATAGATGTGATTGTGCCGAGCAATGTGCTAAAATTTATGATCGCCTCAAGAAAGCATGTATATCCAATTATGATCATAATTTACATAATTTGTTAGATAAATATAGAAATAAATTTATTAATCTAGACTTAAATTCAGCATGTGATAATATTAAACATTTAATATTACCCTTATATGAAGATAATAAACAAATGATTACTTCATCCAAATCTAGTATTGTGTTTCCTAGAAAAATTCCAATTTTTGTAATGTTAATATCGTCCTTCTTTTTGTTTCTTGTTTATAAGTTAATTTGTGATATTACTTATATATAATATTAATATTTGACAATATCTCTTAATTAAATGAAAATAAAAAAATTATCAAAAAAAAATTACATGTTTAATATATAATTTTTTTGCACTCTTATTTAGTTTACCCCATATGGCTTAAGGGTGAAACGTAAAATAAAATGTGTTAAAAAAAATTGGAATAATGAAGATGAAAAATCCCCAATATTCGGATTTTCTGAAAAATATAACAGTCTTTCTATGAATTACAACTATAATTTATCATTTTGACTAATTTTACAATTAAATTTTTTATTCGAGAAAAACAATATTATGATCCAATATATAAAAAATTGTAAGCATGTCACATGATGAGCATTTTCCTTATGAATTCTTTTAATATCATGTAATACTTACAATATAAAAAAAAGGAATGTATATTTTTTTATTAATTTGAAATGATATTACTTTAAATATATTGTTTACTTATTTTTTAAAAAATATTGGCTAAGAACATAAATGTGGAAAAAAAATATTATGAATAATTCTATTCTAGTCTTTTTTTAATATGCTCAATTTAGAATCAGTAAATTTTTTTTCCCTATAATGATTTTCTATGTAAAATAATAACCTAATTAAGGTTATATAACAATGCTTATGCAAATAATAGATTTTCGTAATATTTTTTATATGTGATAAAATATATTTTATATATATATATAAATTTATTTCTCTATATAAAAGTATTTATGTGTCCATGTGAAATTATATAATTCACATATTATTGATTTCTTGTTATAATTATTTTAATAACCTTTTTAACTTATTACATTAGTACGCTTAATGTGTGAACAAAAATATATTATTATAATATACAAATATATTATTTCATATATCATTTTTTTTAAAATTTAACAACACATATTATAAAGAATCCAGTACATTTTTATATACAGTTTTTTTTCTAAGCATTAATTCCAAAGATTTTTTCCATATTATTTTAATTATCCTCATACATTTTTATGCAATGTTATGAAATTTTTTTTGTATATCCATCTAATTTGAAAAGTAATGTAAATAGATCATATACATAATTTTACATTATTGTGATGTTCAATTTTGTTACATTAAATGTGTCATATATTTGAATCTGCAGAATCATATTTTTACCAATTAATATATTATATTATAAAATTTTATATTATATATTACACATATACAAAATAATAAGAAATAAGATATAAATAATTATATTTTATGCTTAATACGCGTATCCTATTTATATTAGTTTTTAGAAGCCCTCTTAATTCTTTAACTCATAATATAAAACATATGATAAACAGGAAAAGCAAATATTAAATATAATTATACAAGTATCAGGATGTATTAGAGTAAATTAATATGTATTAATATAAAAAAAGTAAAAGAGTTTTAATTCAATGTATTAAACAAAAGAATTTATATAATTATAGTCATATATTATAACAGAGAACTCAAATAAAGGATAATTATTATGAATAGAATAGAAATATTTAAAATAATCTTCTTAAAAAAAAAAAAAAAAAATACTTATATTATACGATGAAATTAAAATTAATTATAGAACTTATCTTCATATATAACACAAGAGAGTAGGGTAAAAATTTATTTAAAATAAATAATAATAAATTATTTCTTATTAACGTACAAAAACCATTATATTTATTTGTTTTATTTCGTAACGAATAAAACAAATATAAATATTTTTATGTTCTGATAAATTAAAACTCTAGTTATTTTTATTCCATATTATTTAATGTATAAAGAAACATATTACGCATAAATTAATAATAATAGCTAAGAATGTGCATAATGAATGATCAAATAATAAAAATACATAAAGGTTTTTCATCATTCATCGTTCCATTCCTGTAATTAATTGTATGTGTGAACTATAAAATATTTATTAATTAATCATAATTTTAAAATATTTTTATGAAAGTTATCATATATTCTGATTAATACAGTAGGCGCAAATAATTTTATTTTATTAAAAACAAATAACCATTAAAATGAGTAGTATATCATATAAAATTTTATATATGAATTTAATTATTAAATAATAAATAATAACTTATATGTATTATATTACAAAAAGATAAAATAGTAATTATATATGGGTTCTTTGATATTAATAATATAATTTATTCCATCTGAAGAGCTCATATATGACATTTATCCACATACGAAAAAACTATTATATGCTAATATATAGTATGTATATAAATTTATATAATTAATTTAAAATACAATTTTTTATTAGCTCTAAAACACTTATAATTTTTATATAATAATAACACCTAAAATAAAATTAAAGGAATTATGAAAAATGTATATTTATTATTATGTTGAATGTACCTTATTAATTAGCATAAAAATGATATTATATACTATGTTCGAAATTTAATGAAACATCTTTCGCTTTATATTAATTTATATAAATTATACACTTTACATTTAAAAAATTTTTATTAAAAAAAAAATTTTTATATTATTCAAAAAATGTCAAATATTAATTATAATTAAATTATATAAATCATTTCATCTAGTTTTTATTATTGATTGCATCTTCGCAAGTTAATAATATTTACACTAATATATAATTCTCATGAATTTTTTAAATATTTCGGATTTTATCATCTTTTACAGTAATATAATGTTATTCCAATATTATTACAACAGCTTTTACAAGAAATATAATAATATCATATATTAAACCTATTCCGTAGATAAAAAACAACATTCCTCATCAGAAGATAAAATTGTATTTATCGTTACATTAAGATCTTCTTATTCATATATTATTCTAGGTATACTATTTTATATGGAAGTATATTTTAATCCACATTTAAAAATTCAGAAATATATAAATAAGTACTTTTAAACTAATAGAACATATAACAAAATTAGAATAAAAAAAATTATCAATAGACATCATTTTGTAATTTTATAAATGATATATTCATGTTCCTAATGATTACCACAAAATTTCGTGATATTAATGAATTCATCATAAAACTTAATATATTGAAGTTATTCCTTTTAAGAAATTTACTTAAACTTTAAGCACGTTTTCCCCATATATTATAACTATTGTATATATATTTTTTTTATTTTTCTTAATTTTCGATTATCTGATAAAATTGTATAACATTTTAAATATGATTTTTTGAATTCATATCAATGTGGTTTCATTTGCTTGTAATACTTTCATTTTTACATGAAATTGCGTATTAGGAATATATAATATATCTAAAAAAAAATTACAAAATTTATGCTAATAGTAACAGGTAGAGATTTATTATTTAATAAAATCATTATTTTTACATCAACAATATATAAAAATTAA